GCTCTGCACCTGGGCTGCAAAAGAGATGTCACTGTGGGTCTCTTGGCGATTTTCGCATTGACTTCGATGTCGTTGTTTTGCCGCCTGCGCTTTAAGTATGGTTGCTGTAGTCTACTTGAGCTCTCAAGCCCGACTGCTTCGTGGACTAGCGGCCCTAAGGCACGGGCCGAAACGCTTCCAGTAAGGCTTCATGATTGGTGCATCAGTGAAGAATGGATCGGTAGGGTGCATGGGCAGCGTTCATCGCGACCGAAGTGTTTTTGCCAGAGTCGAAGCAGGATTTCGAGAATGCAGAATGTATGTTCCGCGGCACTGTCGGAGCACATCGCCGCTTCAAGGCCCGCATAGCGCCGCTAAACCTGCGGGAGGAGCCAGAGCGGCAAGGCTCGGAGCCTAGCCGAAACCGAGTTTGGGACTTCAGAACGTGGAGGGTTTAGGGCTTAGGGCATCAGAATTGAAAATCGTCAAGGTGAAGGGCTCTCAGCATCAGGACGTCGGCTTTGGTCGTTTCTGGGGCTGGCGAGTTTCAACTTAGATTCTTGGGCCTTGGATGCGCGTTCGACTTTTGTAAGCAGTTAAATCTGTACTTGCAGTGAAAATCTGGAGTAGGTACCCAAGCACTCCCTTTCCCCAAACATGTACAAATCTCTGGGAGCTGCATCAACTGTCACGCTGTGGGATATGCCACTGCCCTGGTGTACCTAAGCAGATTTATGGTTGGAGCAAATGTCTGCCTAATATTTGCCTAATATTTCAAAGGGTTTTCACTTCCTCCAGGTGTGTGTGGATTCAGTAAAGATCGGATCGTGGTGTTGCTTAGAACCCGTTGAGACAGTTGTTAACGTTGCAGGAACACGTAAACTTCAGCATGTGGGGTACACATGCACTCAGCGCAGCCTTGAAGCCTGAAAGCACAACATTCCATTCGCCCCAGACCAGTATCCCCGAGCCGTGAAAGCATGAACAGGTCTGAAAGCCATCGATGCCGAGATGACTGAGCTTGCACAGGCGTTTGGAATTCTTGAAGATCAGTTGCTCCGTCCCGAACCAACCACTATAGCAGCGTAGGGGATTGGCGTTTCATGAGTGTGGGGTCATTGGCTAGGTATCCCGCAGCTGCACGGCCGTAGCAAAACGAATTTTCCACTTTTCGGTTGATGCTCAGCTCGATAGAGTGCAGGGCTTAGGGCTTCTCATAAACAAAGTAGTGGATGACCCCCTGGCTCTAAAAGCTCTTGAGAGGTCACGGCGCCGTTCATCTCCTTCAAGATGGGCTTAGAGATCGTCTCCAGAGCGCGAGCACTTTGACCATCTTTGGAACAGAAGGTTTGTTGAGTGTACAACGTTCAGAGGAATATCCCGAATGATAGCTATGGGCAAGCCCAAACACAAACGGCTAGCAAGCGCGAAAGCACATCAATACGAGCACAAAGGGCGCATGGCTATTGACGGTAAGACGTATCGTCTCACAAATATCATCCTTTGCATGGTCGTTACCATGTTTCACCATCATCATCATCATCATCGCCTTCCTCATCATCATCACCACCACCGATGTCATTATAACTATCAAAAGCACCAGCACCAACACCATCATCACCGCCATCACCACCGCCATGATCACTGCCATCATCATCATCATCATCACCATCATCAGTCGTCATCATCATCATCATCATCAAAATTATCACCATCATCAGCATCATCATCAGCATCATCATCATCATCATCGTCATCATCATCATCAGCAGCATCAGCATCATCAGCATCATCAGCATCGTCAGCACCATCAGCATCATCAGCATCATCAGCATCATCAGCATCATCAGCATCATCAGCATCGTCATCATCATCATCATCATCATCAGTGTCGTCGGATCGTCGCCATCATTATCGTCTTCATCATCCTCGTCAGCATGGCCAGCATCAGCATCCTCATCAGCATCATCACCGGCAGCATCACCAGCCCCGTCACCAGGTCAGAAGCCTATGCAGAGTCGTTGCGGAAGTTCTGGCTACGGCTTAGAGAAGGTTTGGGATGGTTGGGGCTCAGAAGCCGATGTACGAGCGACGGCTTCTTCAAGTTGTGGTGGCATTGCAAAACGGCCCAGTCCAAAGCCAAACCCTGCACTTTCAATCGAGTATGCGTGTCCACCCAGCCTGCGCCCTTCAATCCTCGGAACCTCAACTCCCGAACGCGTTTCGCCACGAAGCCCAGAACTCAAAACTACGCGCGCCGAGGCTGTGCTCCATGAGACCGGGCCGCTCGAGGGGGTCATACAGAAGCTGACCCCCAGTGAGGCCTTCCACCGGCAGCATAGGGCCGACCGTATGTCGCCTGTGTCAACTTAACTTGGCAGGATTAGTGTACTCAGAGGTCATCAAGACTGAGCATAGTATGCTCCGACGTTCTATGTATGTGGCATGGTTCAGTTTATTGCAGTAAACTGGTGGTACTGCGACAGATGAAGCGATCTTATGTGCTGCATCTAGCAGACTTTGGCATATCTTCAAGCACAATTGTACAGAATGTTGCAGGATGATCATTGGTTGTCCAGCGTATTACAGTATGTTAAATGCACGATGTGAACTCGAAGGTTCATGTTGCGCGAACTCACCAGCCAGGCATCGATGTGGCTGAACGACTTTCGCTTCGGGCGCGTGTCGGGCTCAATGCGAAACCATGGAGATTCACCAGGTCGTTATCATGATCGTAGCAGTGGGCGGAAGAGCAGGGCAAGGGTAGTACTAATGGTGTTTGTAGCAGCAACATTACGAGCAGCAGCAGGACGTAGGTTTTTTGCTCGGCTCAATCAGCAGCAGGAGGTGGCATAGCATCAATGCGCACCCCAATTGACCCACCATACGTGTTCAAGACCTGTAAAGCATACATGCTCGAAGCATGAAGGCCCAAGTCCCAACCTTTCAGGCCGAGCGTGAAACAGCACCGCCAGTTGCCCTCGGCCCGACCGAAGCTCCTCGTCGCACTTTCCTGTTTTGTCCCATCCCTCTCACCTATCTTCGAGATCGAACCGAGCGACCTTTTGACACGGACCTGTGACACAGCAACAAGAACTGGAACCAAGAATTGGGTCATCTCATGCAAGGAGTGCAATGTTTAATGAACCAGCTCAATCTCTCTGAAGCAATGTCGTGTTTGCAAACGAACACGCTCCATCGCTCATGTCAACGACGTCGATTAGCATTGTTGCATGACCGCGGCAACAGGGCTTCGAAGACTGCCCGACGGATGGAATGGGAGGCGAGCTGCCGTCCCCTTCAAGAGGATGCTCGCAGGGGCCTTGCCGGAGCCGAACGAGGTGCATCGAGGTTGGAGGCAACAGAGCTTGCGGCACCTGCAGGACTTGGGTACTTGCTTTCTACGACGCCTGCAAACTCGTGTAGAAGGCAAACGTTGGACATTTTGCTGACGTCCTGGTCGAAAGTGGCACGCAGAATGGCAGCACACTCTCCGCAATTGTTGAGATTTCGGGATCTCTGAAGCTGATCTTGAGGTTATGATCGCTACTTGGGAGACTCGTTCCGCGTGGTGTGCCCTGGGCGCAAGGAGTATATACATCCGCGATAAGGACGTGATGTCCTGGTCGAAAGCGGAGAACCTGATGTTGTGTGAGTGAACTGGGACTCGATCGGGAAGTGATCTGGATTTGGCACCGGCCAAAGCCAGATGACCTCCCGATCGTCCCCAGCTCATACATGGTTGCCAACCACACCACTCGTGGAGGCGTGTAGCAGGCTTCGATATTGGGACAGCGGCTCTCCTAATGATCCTTCTGCCGCCACCTCCTGTTCAGTTTCCAAACGACCAGGAGGGATTTGGCGGCTGAATTGCTGCGTTGGTTGCTGGCCTTCGAAGCAAGAGGGTCCTCGTGGAGAAGAGGAAGAAGCGGCTCAGGAACGAGCGATGTGGACCAAGGGCAAGGGCTTCGCCGAGCCTCAAGTGGTGGTGCACTTCTTTGGGTGAAGACTGGCCGCAAGCAATGTTGGCGATCATTACGATGGTGGTTTTGGATGGTTTTGGAGAGATTCTCCAAGATGCTGCTTTTGAGTCTGGTCGTCTCTGGCGGCAAGATCGCCGCGGTCCTCATGTTGAGTGGAGAGGTGGCCATCCTGGGTCTTCGACTCCTTAATCAAGTGGCTCTTCCTCGAAGTCGGCTCGGACAATCGTCCAAGTGCTAAGCCGGCGGCCAAGCGTCCTTGCTGACGTCAGCGCTGACAGGTGCCAAGTCAAATCTGGCGACTCGAGATAGAGCGATAATTTGATGCGCGGGATGCCGGTACTCCGCGAGATGTCGGACTCGATGTATTGCTCCTTGTGCTGTGGGGTGGATGGACGCCGTATGTCGAGCCCGTGATCGATTGAGTCGTGGCACAGCTTTGTGGAGATCTTCAACAGCCCCATGGATTAGAGGCAGCCTGATCGCAACTTGGTGCGGAGTGTGTTGGTATTTGGTCAGAGCCGGGTTGCCACTGCAAAGACCTCCGGCAGTGGCTTGATCGAGGACAGACAGGCCATTTGTTCTTTGCCGGTCTGCCGTTCTGGCCTCGAAGGCAGGCAAGGCAACAGCACCCCAGTGCACAGAGCCTGATGCAGCTTGAATACAGACAACGCAAACAGATGCTGTGGCTGTGGCAAATTGACGATGCGCCGCAGATCTTGTTCCATGAGAGGAAAACTGAGGTATGTGGGTGGGGAATCCAGTGGCAGTGGATCAAGCAGGAAAGGGCTTCTTGCAGTTCGGGGGTTCAGGAAGATTCGCCGACTTTGCAAGGTTTTTGCAGGCACAGCTTGTGCTGTACACCTCGAGCCAACCCGAATGCAAAGCCGATCTTCGTCCGGTTTAGGCCGTGGGACTCACGGTTTCGAGGGTCTCAGCTATTTGTTAGGATGGCGAGGTGACGGGAAAGCTCCAGCCGCTTCCAGCCAAGCCCACTGCAAGGTCCTGTGTGTTGTGTGCATCGGCCCGGGCTACGGTGAGATGGAGCTGAAGCCGTATGCCGAGGTCGCTACCCGGCCAGAATCACATGTGTCAGGTGAGAGGATGTAATTTGCAGGTACCGTCGATCCCCGATGCAGTGGACCACGGATCGCATGTGTCTGCATGCAGGCGAAGGTTTTGCGTCAGGATTTGAAAAGAATCCGTCAGAGCAACAGCGCACAGAGTGCCAAGAGCCATCATCAACCCCGGCGGGTTCCGAACTCCAAACCCGGACCTCTCGAACCCCCCTGCCCCCGTGCCTGACGCTGCGCTCCAACCCGCCAACCCGAACTCGAACTCGTAGTCGAGGTGTTGTCGTTAGATGTCGTCAGTGTAGTTGTGACGGATTCCAAGCTCGAACTCTAACTTCGACCTGAACCAGTTCCCCACTTTCTGGGTCACGGCATGGGAAGAAAAGAGAAGCTCCCGAGATCTTCCAGTGCCCGCGTCTTCAGAGCGTCTTTAGGGCCTTGCAGCCAATAGCCGAGCGCCAGGAGGAGGCGAAGCCTTTGAAGGTCACGGCTGTCCCCGGGACAGCCGGGGCCTCAAGCTCGGGGAAAGAACGCATTACGGCCTTTGCCATGTCCAATATTGTACACTGTACACATGTGCCAGTTCTGGTTTCCTAGCTTTCAATAGCCTTGCTCCGCAAGGCCCTAGCCCCGTTTCTTGCGCCCGAATGCCACCCCCCCGGAGCCGACAGTGTCACCAATGTCCTTAAGAGCTCCCGTCTGCACTTGCATGCACAGCCAGGTGTTAAGTTGCATCACTGTTCCGAAAGGCCGTTTTTGCATTCGGTTGACCTTTGCGGTTCTCTCATTGTGCTACTCGGTCCAGGTGCTGATGATACGATCCGACAAGCTTCGTGTGAGACACCTCTGCCGGACACGGACGCTACTGCTTAGCTGCTTGGTGAGCCATTGGAAGGTTCCAGCATTAGACTGTTTTGCAGGCAGAACCCTGCAAAAGAGATCTTGAGTCGAAATACCAAAGACTAAGATGAGCCGTACATCCTGGTACCACAAAAATTTCTACACCGAGCAAAGTGTTCATGATGTAGCTCAAACAGAAACACATAGAAACACCGTCGACGGTGTCTAAGGCATTCCAAAATCGGGCAGACACGAACGACCTGACCTCAAGTCCTAGAATGCCAAACTCTCGTCCAGGCTGCAACCTGCAAGCCTCCGGCGGTACCAACGCACGGCTAGCACCCAACCCCTGCGCTGCGAAGCTCCAGGCTTCGGGTGGGGCCTCAAGGGTTTGAGTTGGGAAGCTTGCAACAACAGCTTGGCAGCGTAGTCTAGGGAGCCAAGAGGTTGAGGGTTGTGGTTTGATGTTCTCGAATTTCTCTGGCACTGTAAGGGCTTGTCAGGATTTCTCTGGAGCACAGAACTCTTCTTCAAATTAACACGTCAACCTGGAATGACGGCTTCGAGCTGCGTTATGCGACCAAGCCTGCGTTTGTGTTTTTGGTGGTTTCGAGGTGTCAGGCTCAACTGTGTGGGAATTGAGACTTCAGCATTCTCGTGAACTCATCCGCACTTGCCCCGAGGCTTAGCCTGATGATGGGAAAGCATCCGGGTTTTTCAGATTTTTGTAGCACTTTTTTCGGGAGGGCATCAAGACAGAGCCTTCGGCCCGAAGAGAGATCTTGTGCTCATGAACAAGACTAGGTGACTAGGTTCGATTGCTCAAGCATCTTCAAGACAGGCAATAACACTCTCAGTTGCCACAGCGTTTTCATTGTACGTATTTCCTGTCGACCGAATTCCCCACATCCATAGTCTTCGACTTCAAGCACTTGTGTAGCAGCCCGATGAGTATATCATTTCACCTGACGCGTCTGCAGCATAAGCAGTTGGCGAAAATTAAGCCTACACGCTTGCTCACGTCTCGAAAGATTTCCAAGCTAAGCCAATGGAGCCCAGGTGTGGCTTGATGAGCGGCTGCACAATCTCAAGCAAGCAGCCCCTGGGCGAAGTTACGGGGGTTTCCTATGCCAAAACTCTGCACCACTCTGGGATGCTGCGGAAGGTCCTTGCTGGCTTCAGCACGGACCTCAAACCCCACGCTTGCAGATACTAGCTTACCAGCCACAAATTCCGAACCCTCAACCTACATCACAAACTTCCAGGAGACGGAAGACCGCCGTGCCGAGCTCCCTCGCCACCTGCGCCTGGCAATGCACCGTGGCGAAAACCGCATCACCAGGCTGTTTAGTCGGTTTGGAGGGCCTGGTAGCAAACTCAAACTTGACTGTTGAAGCGGCTTTCCTGGACGTATTTTCCGTGGGGCATGACAGTAAAGAGCCTTGACTGCCAGGGGCAGTTTATCGACAGGTCCCCGGACCCAACACATCTGTGGACAAACCACGCTGAACTCAACCTGCACCGAGGAACCGCCAGTGCTTCAAGGGGCAGTACATGGCAGTCAGAGGCGAGGGTCGAGTCGGATTCAGCCAGCTTGCGCTCGAATTCGAACCACATCGCTGCTTCTAGCATGCGCGTGATGACCAGTATTGCTAATAGTAGCGCTGGTACCTCCCTGCCACTGCTACATTTTGCTTGACACGCAAGTCCTGATGAAAGTCTGGCTTCGCATGCAATGGTGGGATCGCGACATAGGCCTCGCGAGCCGCGTCGCACCTTGCTGGGGCCCTGAGACGTTTTTGTGTGGCCGGGGGCTGAGCCGGGAGCTTTGCTTCCATTGCTTACAACTCAGGCTGCTATGTAGCATCGGGTTCAAGGATTTCAGGGTATCAGGATGTTGGGTTTGAGTAGGCTCCAGGACCGAGTGTGGGTGTGGGGGGATGGAGCGGGTGAGTTGGGGTCCAAGGTTTTGGGCATAGGTAAGGAAGATTGTCAGTCGAAAGAGGTGGGGTTTGAGTTTTCCCGAAAGCTTCAGCGAAGG